ACTGTCTAATTCATAACTATTTTTTCTGTAAATCAGTTATCTACAGCGGTCGCTGAAATATAAAGTACATGAAATTATTAATATATCCCTGATTATTATCACTATTCTTGATAAGACCAAAATCGCATATACAAGAAGTAGCTTGACCTTAATAAATTTCGGTTAAAAATTAGGTATTTCTTTTAATTTTTTAAAACCCTTAAAGAGAGTTTTCGAATACCCTTCGTATGATAAAAGAGCATAGAGCGAACTATTACTATATTATTGATGAAGACATTCAATGAAAAAATGGAAACTAATTTTCATATATACTTCTATTCAAAATCTATTCTAAACATTTATGGTAAGTCTTCCGCCAGATTAAATATCTTCCGTGACAAATAAAATATATTTACATAAATTAATTTAAACATAATTTATAAGTAAATAACTATATAACACTGCATATGAAAATAATAAAACTTCTTAAACAATTTTAATACATATAAAATGATTTATTTCTTATTAATATAATGGATTTGTTTTTGAAAAATTTTTTCTATTTTACTAGGTTTTAGCAATTCTGTATACAAAATGGCATATATAAATTTGTTGTTTTTCTCTTGTTAACAATTTACAAATTAAATTTTTTAAAAATTATATTATTTTAAATTTTAAAATTTACAATTTCTTAACTTTGCATTGCAAAATAAAATAAGAACAAATAACCAAATTATTAACTTATGGCCACTTGACACTACGAATTCAACTCAAAAATCCAATGATGTTTCCAAATTAGTACTTGTATTAGATCCACAGCTTATAGTCCGTGTAACATCCATAGGAGAATCCTGGTTATTGTCATCAAGTTCTAGAGAAAAATTAAAATATATTTAATGAGTGTTATAACCAATAAATATATTTCATATTATTATATAAATATTCTATATATGTAGAGCTTGTTCCCTACATATTAATAATCATCTCATTATTGTTTACTTAACACTTTCATGTCTTGACAGTAGTGGAAGGAGGGAAAGAGATGCATAAGATTAGGGAAAAAGATGAGTAGGTAATAATCACCTCAATATTGTTTAATTAACAGTCTCATACAATCTCATCAATAATGTTAGCAGTGGGGAAAGGTATGCATAAAAGTATTAAAAGTGGCGGGTAGAAGTGGGAAAATACATGGTTCAGATGAGAGCATCCTCCCCTTTCAATGAAGCGGAACCATAAATCAATATTGCTTAAATTTATGTGTACATTTAGACATGATAACATATAAGCGACGCCATTAAGAGTAGAACTGAAATTGGCGTTAGCCGTATTTATATGTGAAAAGTCACTATTTAGCATATAGCTAAACCCAGTTATACCCAGTCTCAGTTGAGCTGCATGGAAAAATATATCTTTTGTACCAAAACACTTAAGTCAAAAGACCTCCTGAGAATTTTATTGTGATGCTGTCGCTTTTTCAAAGAAGAAACTGTTTCAGTGCTGACAGCAGGCCTATATATAATCTCATAACAACGAGGTTTAAATAAGACCTAACTTTTATTATATCCGTTATTGCATATATTGATGTTTTTATAATATGAAGGGACCTATAACAGTGATACAATACTATACTATAGTAGTTATTATACTATACTATATATTATACTATACTATATATTATACCATACTATATACTATATTATACTATACTATATATTATAATACACTATATATTATACTATACTATTTATAGTATAGGCCATACCATATAAAATACTATACCACAACAGTCGAAATAAACACTGTTTTTTGATAGGAGATTGTGAATTGATTTGCAGTTCCTGCTTTCGATTTTTAATTTTAGCTATGCTCACTTTGTTCATATAGGAACGTTTGACAATCATAGTTTTAGCGTGCGACTTAGAAATTTGTTGAAAAAAACTTCAATACTTGACTGTACAAATTGGCACATATTAAATTTTTTCATTGTCAATTAAACATTCTAACATCTATGCGATTCAGAGTTCATTCGGTTTAATAAAAGTTATATGGAGACATTTCCTCTATACTATCTCTGTACTAGGATACTAGAGTTATTAATCTGAATTTAGATCTACCAAAAGAGTAAATGAATATCATGTTGAATGAATATGTATGTTGCGTATTATTTCTACTAATAATGAGACTACATAAAATTAATTTATGTGTTTACCTGGTGGTAAATGGAATTTTTCTATAACAAACTTCTTCCTTCTCAATTTAAATGCCAGATCCGTAGTTTCCGGCATATATGCACTTAAGGCATTTATGGCAGAAATCTTTCTTAGATGTATAAGACCATGATATTCCTGAAAAGCAGGATTTGTTTCACGTTCGGAACCAGCAAAAGATTCCAATTCAATTGAGTAATCAACTAAATTACGTATTTTTGATACCAGATTTTCATCCTATAAAATAAACACAGAAACTCAATATAAAATTGTGATTCCATTAATAAATGAACTTACATATTTTGCGATAAGATGCATAGGCATTGTGATGAAACAAACCGAGACAACATTACGCACTGCTGCACGTAGAGCAGTTAAAAATTTCAATATGTCTTTACCGAAATTTTCATCATACCACATTGGTGAGCCGAGTGAAGTGATGCAAACACGACATAAATTTTTATGTATAAAATTTGATTTAAATCTGGTCTCCGACAGCAATTCCTGTATATCATTGTAAATACGTAAATATTTTTCATTAGAAAATATTTTGGATTTTTGTGCTTCATCTTCAGTTGTGGTGGTTGGTAAAGGTGGTGGCGGTGATGGTGAAGGTAATGTAGCATCATTAGTGGGTGTTGTATTTGAATCATTTAACTTTTGTTCTTCGTTCTTTTCAGTACTACTAGACGCATTATCACCTATGTTTGGCTGTGGTGTATCATTCACAACTGCTAATGGGTCATCTTTACGCACATTACAATTATCGCCAGCACCATTTTCATTCCAATCCTCTTCACCATCCTCATCGTCTTCATCATTTAAAGCTTTACGTTTTGTACCATTCCAGATGGTGGTATCTGCATAACGTAGTACCAATGGATTGAATTGTTCCATTAAATTAAAATGATGTCCAATTTTTGCAGTTGCTTGCTCTGAATTGACAATTGGCAAATCATTATAACGCCAAGCAATGCGTAAACCATTTTTATCAGTTTCACCATTTTGTTTATCGTCTGCCAACTCTTTTTCAATTTCTTCTTCATTTAAAGGTTTTGGCAGTTTGCTGAGCAATTCAACAGGATCATCATCCAGGCTACCCAGAAAAAGGCAATGAAAAGAGGCAACGCCTTCTGCTAAGAAGTATTTTGCCAACACTTTTGAGTGTGTAACATATTTATCCTCCTCTGCAAGTAATTATAGCAAAAATTAATTAGTTAACATTTTGTGTATGTTAATAACATACCTATCAAGCATATGGAACCAATTGGTAGACCACCACCTGAAAGAGATATATGTAATTAATTTTAATGGATTTTAATCTATTTATTTTTGTTTATAAATAAAAATTGTTGACATATTTTCTTTGCCAATAATTTACCTAAAATCACATCCAATGAAGGATTCCCACTTGATGTGATTACTTGTCCTGTTTGTGGACTGGTACGCGTGCCAGGTGTGACTTGCTTCTGAAAGTGACGTTTTCGAAAATTTGACATTTTTTTTTTAGTTTAAGCTCTGCGTTTGAATTCCTCGAAGTGTCTTGCAATTACTTCCTCCTCTTTTTTTGTTATTAAATATGTCACTTAACTTTAGCCTTTAAGGCAACACAATTTTTTACGGCAGAGTGTTTTACGCTATCGAAGTTGGCGGAATTTGGTTAATAAAAGGAAATCATAAAATCAGCTGATAACATCGTTTGCCCTTTGCCGCTGCTTTTATGAACCGTTTCTTCTTTTTATTTATCTTACGAATTTCATAAAATACTTCACAATATGTTTGTTGCTATATTTTAAAAAATCAAAATAAATTGTATTTTTTATTTTTTTTAATTTTATTTCTAACAAAAATAATAATCGTACTGTATTGAGGGAAGCGTGTTCGTCGAGCGGTGTTGCCACACTGAAAAGTTGGCGCTGTCAAATTACTACGCATTCTGAATTAAAAACTTTTCAGAGAAGAAAATTAATTTTTTATTTCATAATTGATATGTCACATATTCATATTTTATGTAAATATATTGATTGTTATAAAAAAAATGTTTTTCTTTATATTAAAGTCGGTATAATACAAAATTCTGAAAGATCTAAAATTATTTACACACCTTTTATCACGTCGAATAATTTTTTTTTATTCTAGTTTAATTTTATTATTTAAGGTATTAAAACAATAAATAAAGCATATCATAAAGCAATTAGTTATTAGATAACTAACAAGCAATTTAAATTTAGAATAAGTGAAGGTGAAAAAAGAATAGGACTTGTGAGTGCGCGATTTCGCTGTGGTTAAAGTGTTTACATTGATCAGTAACTAATGGCGTTTTGATTTGTTAAATCTGGGGTAACTTTTTTTATCGAGATTCACTTTTAGTGCAATTTTCATATTTGTTTGATAACTTATATAGAGTTAGAGAATGATGTATAACACTCGAGATTTGATTATAACACTCTAGATATTTTACCAGAGTAGCAAGATTACCCTGGTATTAACAGCTGTTTCATATGATTTGACAAATAAAAAAAATAACTCCGTATAACACTAGAGATTAACGTAAAACACTCTAAATATTTTGCGAAAGTAGCAAGATTACCTTCAAATTAACAGCTGTTCTATATGATTTGACAGATTAAAATTGTGTGAAGTGACATCACATTTCATTTAGTTTATTCATATACATAGCTGTCATTTTGAAAAAATTAATAAAATCAAATAATAGCACATTTGACGAATTCACAGATGAAGATATAGTTTTTAACGCAATACAATTTCTAATCACGGAGACTATTACTATATTTTTAATAATTTTTTAGGTATTTATTTTCGTTATTTTGTAATTTATTTTCCGTAATATGAATGCTGTAGTGTAAACACATAATTTAATGACAATTTAATATTAAAATCTGTTGTTTACTGCAACGAGTTATTACTATATTGATAAAAAAGTTATAATCTTTATAATAATAATACTTACAACTGAGTTTTATATTATACTAAATGCCATATATTATAATAGAATTTATTATGTTATGATTAATATTACATCATTTCATATGAATTCTAATACTGGTTTTATTATAATTGAAATACAGAGTTGTTTCACAATTTTATGTGGAACGCATTGATATGCCACGTGATGTGTAGTTAAAAGAACCCAACTGGTTTGTGTATAAAATAAATTAGCATGCATGTAGAATGAATTGGTTTGTGTATAAAATGCAGTTATTGCACTACTGTTGTTTTTAATTCGTAATAAAGATTTTAGAATTATTTGAAAAAGTTTTTATTAAATTTAATAAATCGAATAAAACAACTGGGATTTTTTTTAGAAATACTTCTAAACATAAAATGTATTGATTTGTTTAAGAGACTATAATGTAAATAACTGTCTACTGCCTCTAGTGGCGTGTAGCGAAGTCTCTGTACATTGGCATTATAGTAGTCTTTAATAAATAATTGAAGCCTACACTGTGTTGGAAATTTCTGTAGAGTTATTATTAAATAATGAGGAATGTGTTACTACTGTAAGTGATGTAGAGTGGTGTACTTATTTGTGGTGTAAATGGTTCTTGTATTCGATTACTAAATGGTGAGAATTAGTTTGTTGGCTTCAATTTGGTACTTGGTAAAGGCTTTCAAAATGAAATAATGGATCAGAGACGATATTTGATGTATGATTAACTCATGTTAATTATTTTGTTTAATTAAAATTAAATTAATGTTATTAATTTAATAGATTATGTATGTTGTACACATTATCTTATATGGTATGTATAAATGTAAAATATTGTGATATAATATAACATGTTACTCTAATAATTTAGTCAGTGGAAAAGATATGTCTTGTAAGACCCACTGAAGGTGAAATATGTTTTCGTTTCTGAGATATAGACAATTAAGTAGAGATAACTGTACCAAACAACCGTACAGAAGATATCTTCCATAAAATAACGATAGTGACTTCAGACTAATGACTTAGATTATTTTATTATGTTTTAATTTAAGGTGGAAAGTCACAAGTTGTTAAAATAATAATGACCTTTGCCTCTCAGACCTTTGCTACATAGGTGTAATTTACCATTATTAAAATAATTAAAAAATATTTCAAATTCGAGGAAAAGTTATATGTGGGCTATAAACACTATGAAATTGGAATCAAAGGCCCGTTGTTTAAGCTGTATATCAAGGTCTTCATATCAAATTTTATTCCATTAAAAAAATGGACTCGAGTTCGATTCCTGGTACTTGCAGTCTCAAAAAATAATTATTTACGAATATTTAAATATAAGAATTATTTCCAAGACCACTGATGATGGGTATTTCGCAATACTCGAAACAGCTGTATGGTCAGCCAAAAATTCAATTAATTAAAATAATATAAAAAATAAAATTTTGCTGTTGTAGTTCACTACTGTTCGAAAAACCTCTTTATTAAAAAAATATGCATTTTTAAATCGATGAAAAATTATATGGGTCGCATTAAGAACGATATGTAGAGTGCCAATTACGATATTCTTAAAATAGGTGTTTATAATATGGTAACGCTTATGCCGACAATTATATACACTGACAAAGTCAATCACTATTCGTATCCATTAGATTTAATAACTTACGAGTACAACTTTTACCTTACTTGATCAGATTCTAAAATGACATTATTGGTAGTAGTTTGATTATTTGGATCTAATCAGCGAAGGCATGATTTTTCGGAAATGCATTTAGCCCGAATGAATGATCAAAACGAATGAACTAATTTTACTACGTTCCAGATATTATTATAAACAAATTTCCAATTGAGTGAATACAAGATACATCTGGCCAGAATGACCAGATATAATATAATTATCTAAATATTACATCCTTATATTACATCCTTAATTACATGTCGTGTGAATACAAGAACTATTTTCACTTTAAGTTTTAATATCACTTGTATTTAAGATATTGAGTAGATTACATATTTTTGAAGTCATCTAACAGTAAGGTAAGCTTTCTGATACACAGATCATAATTTAGAAACGTTAGAGTCAAAATTTTAAAGATTTGACAATGCTTAACTATCAGGCGAAACTAAACCTTTTTGGTGATTGAATGAAGTCTGGCCACATGAATATTACAGTTACAATACTTACGAACTGTAAGATCTTATTAAGTGATATCTAGGAATTATATTGCTCTTATCATATCCCATAATAATAAGTAGTCATATGGGTAGAAAAACCATACTGAATAACAGTTTTAAACGTTAGTATATATGGATTGGCTATAGCTTTTGAAAGAAGAGTAATAGCTTCTGATGCATACAGAATAGAATGTATAAAGTACAATATCCAGAGTCAGAATAAAAGGCTTGGCAAAGAGCAGTTCTCAAGATACAGGCATATCATTTGATAAACCAAGTGCGTTGAGACCAACAACGACAAGCCCTATATTGATCTATTTTGCGCATAAGCTACGGCTTCCACTCCTTTAAATTATAAATATGTTTTTAATAAGAAAAAAAAGAAAAAATATGGGAGATATACTAATCAATATTAATATCTAATATATTTATTGAATCCTGTAGATAGATGGCGCTGGTATTTTTTTCTTAAGAATTTTTTTCATATACTAAAAATATTTGGTTTATTTATTATTATTAAATAATATTATATATTTTATTATATTATTATATTATTAAATATAATTAAATATATATTTTAATTTATTATTAAATATTTTATATAAAAGTTCAATATATTAATCATATACCTACTCTTTCTGGCTAACCATCGAGTCACATACTATATATCATAAACATACATTATTAAGGATAACAAAAAGGACAATGCGTTAGTGTTATCCTGCTGTGTAGTAGAATATTGTGCTAAATTTTATACGTTTCAATATTTCAAGTAGATATTTTATGTCTCTAATTTTTTTTTTTGGCTAGAACAGACGTATGCAATACCCTTTGTATGATATCTTATCCTTTTACCAACCGGGGTGGTTGCTGTACACAGCGATTATGTAAAAGGACACTGGTCAATGTATGTGGCAATGGCTATAGAACAGAAAGGGTGCTTTTTCAAGTATTTTCAGTTAAAAATTTTTGAAGTTCAAGGAAATGTGGAA